AGTCCTTTCCCTGCCTGTGAGTTTCAAGCTCCAGCAAATGTGGGTAGAGCTCCTCGCTGCCGTTCATGTGGCTTCCACTTGCCAACGTGCATCCGTAACATTTCAGCAGAGCCCTGAAAGTTACACAAACGTCACGCTTGTGGTGTCCCTGCCTTCTGAAGCTTTGCTGCAGACTCCCAAGTCCTCGTGCTCCGCGGGTGTCCCCTGGGAGCATCTCCAGGAGGGCCTCCACGGAGCTTACTCTGGGGAGCAGTTGCTTACAATTGCTGCAGCTGCCGGAGTGCTTAAAGGCAGGAAGGGTTCTGTGGCATGACCCGCGGCCCTCTCCTTCTCTCCAATATGTTCAAAGTTTTACCATGAGGGTGATAAATATATAAATGGCTTGCTGAGCCAAATCACAGACAACACAAAGATGGGAAACATAATGAATATGATAATGAGGGAATCGGTTTATAAAAAGCCCTAGAATGATGGTCCAAATGGAATATAATGAAATCAAAGAAGGGAAATTTTTAATTCCTGGATTGGGTGCGGAATTTTAAAACCATACAAGAAGATGATGGGAATTTATATTTAGTGTAACATTGGCACAGGTAAATTTCCAGCATGACTTAGATAAAAATGCCTAAGGGTTCAGGCTGACTGTGAATTTGATAAGAGTCGACAGTTATGTGGCTGCAAAAAAGATCATTGCATCTTAGGCTGCCTTATGACACATGGTTTTTGGAACAAAATCAATAACAGTTTGGTTCCACTCATTTCAGTCAAACTGCATATCGACTCTTCTTTTCTGTGCAGCAGGAACCTACTTAAAATGAAGAGGATCCAGAATGTTCGATAGGAACAAGAGATGATTCAAAACATATGACAATATGAAGGATAGTTGGAGGAACTGGAATTTTTTATCCCTACAATGTTAACTGTCAAGTACTAGGAAGGACTTGAGATTTTACCATACTTGCAAGCTGACATGTTAGCCTGACACCATTTCATGGGGTGGGAAAAGATACAAGACTCTGAGGCAGAGAAGTTTACTACAGCAGCCGGAGTACCCAGAGTATCATCATTTCCTTGTGCCCAGTTCCCTCAGGGCAATGCAAAAGAACAGGTAATGCTTGCACCCACAGTGGGTTGCATTACAGGAGAGGAACCCCAAGTTTAGGAAATCCCAGTCTTTTAGAACAGGCTGCCAGCAAGCCAGCCCAACCATTTTCCTAGGGGATGGGAGATACTGCATCTAAACAAACATCTTTGGAAAGAACCAAATGCTGCCAGTGCCTCTGTGGGAAAGACACACAGAAAGAGGAGAGCTCCATGGAGAACTGTCTTTCAACAATAAGTACATCTTGAAGGTTGTCATATTAAAGAGTATTACAAGTCTTTCCCTTTAGAATTAACAAGAATGTCAAGTTGGTGAAAATTCCCGAAAGAAGACTTTACAGTAAATGAGGAAATATTTTATAAAAACAGAACAAGCTCAAAATGGAATGGACTCCTTAAGAGGTTAGACATGCTCAGGCAGAAACCAGGCAGCCCTCTGTTGTGAGGATTGAGCAAATATTCATGTACTAGACAAGTACTGAATTTAATGTTACATTAAGCTTCTTCCAGCACTTCACTTATCAGAAAATAGAGGGAAAGAGGTGAACTAGGAAAAAATGCATGGCAGTAAAGGATAAAGGATACTTTCAAACTTGAAGTACTTCATTGTATATCTTCTGAAGCTCTGTCTACGTCCCGAGAGGATCCAGACATCTCTTTGATAAACCAGAGATTGGGCTGTATTCAAAGCCTTTATGCATTTTATGTTGTAATCTCCCTGGCCTATCTCTTCAGCTGAGAAAAACAGCTCAAAGATCTATTTGGAAATAAAGAAATGTTGAAGTCTTATCCTAGATTGATTATCCTGTGTTCTGAGAAACTGTCTTTGCTCAGGAAGCCTTTGTGTTCTACCTGGAAATGTTTCTGGTCATCTAGACACTTAAAACTGAAGCTTGTGGATATCCCAAAAGAAAATACATTGTCTATAGGGATTTTTCTTTAAAAACAAAACATATTTGTGCACTTTCTCAAGAAAAGAGATTATTTAAGAATAACTGTCATGTCATTTAGCAAATGGACATTTTTCACTTCATGAATTTATTAACTGCTCTTTCTGTCTGAGTTCATCTGCACACCACATATGTAAGACGATAAAGCCAATAACCCTTGGGTGGGGACGTGTCTGTGGGCATGCCCTTTGACCTCCCTGCTTATATGTAAACTGAGGGGTTGAGATAGATGACTGCAATGTTTCTTTCTGGCTTTTCAAACTCCCAAGAATCCAGGAAGAGCCATCTTCTCAAAGGTGGCATAAATTCGGAAACTCTTGGAGTGGTAATAGGGCTTAGAAGAAAATAGGGTGGAAATCCCCCTTGAAGACCATTAAAAGACATCGCTCTCAACCTTAAGCATAGAAACATCAATCAGTATACTGGGAAAGGCTATAGGACGGAGAGATGTTAAGAGAATCTTGTGGTGCTATGTGACAAGACGTGAGTGTAGTTCATGGCAGGAAACTAGAAACAAAATTTCCACTGTATCCTAATCCAGCAGGGAATCCTATTCAAAAAATGACCTTGGAAAGGGCCACAGACTCACCAAACTGTTGGGCCATGGCTCATCAGGCCAAAGCAAGATGTAGGATGGGGAGACCATGCTTCTGAAGAGGTAGACAGCTCGCTGAAATAATCTATGTATTCTTTAAGAAACAGGAAGTACAAAGTTGAGAGGTCCATGTTTTGCCTCTCAAAATAAGCAACTAACCTCTGGCATGTGTCAGTTGGATTCCGGATTGCATATGCACATATTGTGATCTGGGCACTTTTTATGGAGATCAGGGTTCTACACTACAACTTTGTGATTAAGCAATAATTGAGACACCCCTCTTGCATGATTTGCCTCAGAAAACACACACCTCAGATAACACAAATCACATCTCAGAATTAATTCAATTATGCTTTGGATTTAAAATATTTTTTTGAACATAACTGTTTTTCAATACACTTTAAAATACATTGACAATATCCGTCAATTCAGAAAGTTGATATCTTGAAACTATAATTTTTTTGTTAATGATTTATGGTGGATGAGTAAAATTTCTAATCACACCAAGTTTATCTATATACTTACAATATAAAAGCTTTAGTTTTTCAGTAAAACACTATGTAATGACACCAATAAAAAAGGAACTTTGCACACATATATTTTCCTACATACATAAGCATCTGCTCTAACTTCTGCTTCCTAAAACTGTTGCTTATTTTATTTCAGCTTTAACCCTTAATAAAAGATCATTCCTTTACTGAATGATCTGGCTTGGAATGTCCATTAGTTTCACAGCAGAAGTGAAGTTAATCTCCTTCATACCCCATGTTGGACTTAGTTTACTCAGTGTTTAAGATATTTTAAAAGGTGTCTTGGAGGGAACAAGATTGATCTAGAACTTGGGGTCTCTTGGGGACATAAACCACTCAGAGCTCAGACTGAGAATGAGTTTGCCACATTTTTCTTAATCAAAAGGCCACTCTATTCTAGACTGACCTTGGAAAAGTAATTTTTTTTCATCCTGGGATGCAGATAGACATGATAGAGGGCAGCTGCACTCGATATAAATATCTCGTAAGGCAGGCAAAATGCTGCACTGTAACTCCTGTAGTCTGAGAGCCAGGAAAACAGAGGGTTTCTGTGACCTTTTAAGAATATGCTGTTCACCCCAAGGAGCCATAAGTAATTAAAACAGAGTTAGCACTTCTCACAGGAGGGATCAATTTACTCCGAATAGCCCAAAGCTTTTGTTGCTTGTTATGGTACCCTTGTTAGACACAAGGGTGGGGTGGGGCAGGGAGCGCCAGAGGGGAGGCTGAACCAGGAGCAGTAATCTGAGAAGGAAAAACAAAAATAGAGTGGGGACTGAAGAGGAGAAAGAAAGAGCAGGCTTTGGGCGGCCCTGTGGCGCAGGCTGGCAATCCTGTACCCAGAGGCCTTCTGGAGGGCAGGTGGCTATTTCAGTCTGTTCCCATTATAGAAGATAGTTGCCTGAGGAGGGGTGTGACTACAGGAATTGACAACTACTCCTCCTGTCATTTTTCCCTCAGGAATCTTCAGTGACGCCCCGCACTCCATTTTGCCTTTTAGGCCCCTCTGATGTTCAGCCCCACCTTTCCCCTTCCTGCTGAACGCCAGCTACCCCTCCAACTATCTCCTCCAGCCAGAGCCCCACACCCACACCTCCTTTGCATTATCCCAGGATTTTCCCTCCTCTTTCCTTTGCACATATCTAAAACATCTCCATCCTCTTAAATCAAGATAGAATTTATTTTGTAATAAATTCTTACATTGCATGAAGCTTTATACCAAACACTTAAGGATGCACTACCGTTACGGAGCTGTTGTCTCCTGGGACATTTCCTTGACTGTGTTGGCCCACATCCATCTCTTCCGTATTCTGTCTCCTGAAGAATTTGTTCCGTGACCCAATACTACAGAATCAACCTCTAGGGGTGGAAGGCTAGAGTAATCTACATTTTCATCAAGCTCACTAGAGGAACTGAGGAGAAGCGTGACCTAAGGAGGCAGGGTTTTGACTACTGCCGTTAATTTCATATTTTTCCAGATTTTATGTGTTTTTTACCATAATCATATACGACTTTTATAATAACAATGTGTGGGAGTGTAATGTATTTTTTAAGCTCCCAGATGATTCTAATGGTGTGGGAACCACAGGTCCATACAGTCATTTGAACAAAGATCCAGACACATGCTTTCCTGCATTTCTTACTCTCCAACAAGACAGAAGGGTGCTCAAGCACAAGAGCTAGCCCTGTACTTGTCCTATCTTTCCAGTGCTAGAAATACTAGTCTCAGTACAGGTGCTCAGTACATACTTGAATGGGTTTGAAGAGACTCCCAATAAAATAAGGAAAAACTTAATAAGGATACACGACATAATACATTTGGAGAAAAAAAACTTTATAATTAGTGGGTTAAAGAAATACACATTTGTAAGACAGAAAATATACTCAGGTGACTTAATAGACCACAGGGTGGCCACAGATCGACATCTGTGTTTTGCTTTAGATACAGAAGCAAAGGATTTTTGAAGGCATCAAAAAACTTAAAGCATGTAGAAACCAGAGGTGGTTCTTTTTAATCTGACTCATCCTTGAAGTGGTGTGATCCGTTATAAATTCGACAACTAAAGAAAAAATTTGAGTAGCTGGAAAGAGACAAGGAAACCATCACACCTCTTTGCTGATGGGAATGGACAATGATGCAGCCACTTACGGAAACAGGCTCACAGTCCTTGACAAAGTTGAACATGCAGTAGCATATGACCCAGGAAATCCATTCCTAGGAATATACTCAAGAGAACTGAACACATATTCATACCCAAACTTGTGCACGAATGTTCACAGCAGCTGCACATACTAGCCAGTGGATACCATGGTAACCAACATGGGTAAACAGAATTTGGTGTAGCCCAACAATGGATATTAGTTGGCCATTCAAAGGAAGGAAGTTCCTTGTAGCCTGCTACGTACCTTTCAGTGTGATCATGGCTGAATCACTTTGAAAACATGCTGAGTGAAAGAAGCCAGACATAAAGGGCCTCATAGTGTATGATTCCATTTATATGAAATACCCAGAATTGGCAAATCCATAGAGAAAGAGAGTGGATTCAAGATTGCTGGACACTGGGAGGATGGGGATGGGAAGTGACCGCAGTGGGCAGACGATGCAGGGATCCTTCAGTGGCAATGGTCATACAATCCCATGAAGATGCTAAGAACCACTAAATTGTACACTCTAAGAGGGTAAATTTTATAGTATGTGCATTATATTTCAATACAGCAGGATTTTTTTTAATAATGAGAAGAAATCAAGGGGAACATGATGGGGGAGGAAATGTGGACAGCAGGACACCCCCCACCAACCCTAAAGAATGTTTAAAAAAATGGGAGACAAGAAAACAGGGTTTCTTTTTCATCCTTCTTCTAAGGATGTCTTTTCAGGCAAGGTTGGCTTTTTAAACTTTTTAAAATAATAATAATGAAGATAGCTAGCTGAGGAGAAAGGAGAAGTCATGGACTATAAATACAGCCCAAGGGGTTTAGGTAAGATACAAGGTTTTCTTACCATCAGAAGTTGGAATAAGAGGTTTTCACATCTCCCTTTTCCGTAGTCTTAAATAGTGCTTAGAACAGGTTTTCTGTGTGCAGGACAGTGGAGCCCTGAAGTGACAGAGGGGCGAATTCAATGATGTTTCATGGTTTCTGCTCTCTCTCACTCTCTCAGAACACTGTGGGTTCCCAGCATTCAATACCACACTCTGTCTCCCAGCATTCGTCTCGGTGAAATGAGAAGACACTTCTGTCTCTTGAGAAGTTTTATTTGGTTTCTATATTCAGTCATGAACACACATTCCTCTTAAGACTGTAAAAGTCTTCTCTAAACAATTAACTTTTCATTAAAAAGAAAACTTGAAGCTGCTCTTGCAACCTATTTTGCCAATCATTTGTGTGCAGAAAGCAAATGCAGGTTATGTATAGCTACCTCTACATGTTATTAATATGAATACATAAAAGGGACTTGGCCCGGCAAACAGCTTTAAAACCTCCACAAGCCTTTGCATTGAGTTTCCTTGAGAAACAGAATGAAATCATCCCTGCTCGCATTTTCCGGGGATGGAACCATCTCTTCCAAGCCCTCCCATTGCCTGCCAGGGTTCCTTGCTTTAGAAGGAAACAAGTACCTGATCTGGGTCCACTCAGCACAGTCTTCCTCAGTCTCTGGTCAGGACCCAGATCCCAGGGAAAATCAAAGCAAGCTGAGAGACGCGATTAGCACGAGGTAGTCTCTTCATGGCGCCATCTCCAGGTTCAGACCAGACCCTTTCTCAGAGTCTTTATTCTCTAGACAGGTCGGAGAGGGCTTCCCTGTCAGGCAGAGTTTATGTCGGTATTGAAGTTTTTTGTTTCAGCATCACATGCATTCAACAATATTCATTCATTGCCTAAATAAGAAATCTAAACCTTCCTGTTTGGGATTAATAATACAAACCTCCATTTCCAATGTCCTCAAATGTTTTTAACCCAATAGCATGTTTAGTTTACTAAATAATGGATTAAGGTTCCAGGATGAGATAGTGTTAAAACTTGATTTGTTGAGAACATGAACTAAAGCGAATTCCTCACCCGCTCCCTGGCTGCTAAGCAAGGGCATGGTCAAACTGCCCTTTCTCCAGGCCCTCCAGGCCATCAGCCCAGGTCGAGGTCGGCATGCTCCGGTACGGGTCCAGGAGAATCCGGAAGCACCTGACAATGAGGATGCCCAAGAAAATAAACAACAAAATCACAAAAACAAATGTGGTTTTCTGTTCCAGAGACATGCTAAAATCTGACGATGCGTTCCCCAGGGGCACGAGGGGTGAAGGGACGGGCTGGCCTCCATCCATCATCCAGGGAAGCCAGGGCACAGGAATCCCCAGTTTTCTTCTCTTCCATTATCAGTCGGCTGAGATCATGGTGGCTGCACCTTGGAAAGGCTGAGTTATCTGCAGGAAGAAAAAAAAAGAAGGAAAGGGAATCACTTCCAAAGAGCAGCTTTATTTCTAGGCTCACAGTCATGTTTTTCAGAAAGAAGTTGGATGCTCCAGACTTTCTCACCAGAGGTACTTAATTCTGTCTAATTACAGGGAAGAATATTTTCCTCTTGCATGCAATTACCAGACTCCTCAGAGCAGCCACCTGGGACCTGGGGGGATGGGCAGGGAAGGCAACCAGAATAGAGAAGATGAGACACCTGCTAGGCAATGTTGACCTCAGGATGTGCAGCTAACCCGCTGGCCAAACTCAGCCTCCCCTGCCAAGTGTCTTCTAGATTCCCTCCAGTAATATGACTCTCACATCCTCCTTACACCGATACCACTGACTGAACACCAACTATGTGCTAGGACTGTGGCTAAACATGACAAAGGTCAGCCAACCTACTATAAGCTCCATGGAAGTAGGGACCTCTGTAAATCCGGTACAAGGACACCGAGACTGGAAAAACTGCTTGATATAGAAACTCCCTCGGGAGCATTGGGTTCTGGGCTCAAGCCTCTGGATTCCATTTTACTGCAAAATGAGCATGGGACCTCGGAGAGGTCACTACACTGTAAAAATGGTAGTAGAAATGCCTGCGTATCTCATAGTGCTACAAGGAAGATGAATGTGAAAGCTCTTTGTAAAGTACCCAAAGGAGGAAAACAAACAATACAAAATGTTGCTTCACTTAAGACATAAGTAAGGAAGCTAGGATGCTTCTCCTCTGCTTGCTTTTGCCTGGACCAAGGGAGAAAGAGGTGTCTAAGACACCCAAACCATCAAGCTCCTGCTGCTTTTCTTCTCTTTTCTTCAGAAAAGAAAGATCATGTTCAATACTTGACCCCGGGAAACACCTAGAGAACGGAGCTAGGGAAAAGGAATTGACAGCATTTTCTTTAAAGCCTTAGAGTGGCTTTCTACTGTTGAAGACCATTTGATAGAGAGGAAGAGAAGGAAAAAGATAACTTACCACTATCTCTGTTTTCCTAGTGGACAAATTAAGTTATATGGATATTACCATTTGTCTCAAAGAGCAAATTAAAGTATACACAAAAACGATGCAAAGCTTCAGCGAGTGAACTTAATTATTTACATCCAATTTTGTAAAGATAAGTTTCTATATTACATTGCTGTATGGAAAAATCATATGACATACTTATTTATGAATCTGCCCAAGAGAAAAATTAACAGAGTAGTCAGCCATGGAAATTAACATGGATTCAAAAGAAATTATGTCAATGAAAATAACCAAATAAAAATAGAAATTATGATCTAAAGCATTAGGACAGGATTTCTTCAGCAAACTCATAATCATTGCCTTTAAGGATAGTGTTAGTAATCATCATAACAGTTTGCTTGTATGTTGACACTTCAAAGCCTATAAAATCACATATAAAAAACAGTTTACAAAGGGAATTACAATCGGTATCTGGGAGGAAGGAGTTGCCAGTTTCAGGGAAAGATTTTGAAGCTCCATGACTCTGAATTGTTTTTTAACGTTGAAAGAGCTGCAATAGATTTATTTATGATTCATTTATTTTGAAGTAAGATTTGGATAAAATTTGACTGTATTTTTAAAAATAAGCTCCTTGGGACAATAGAGGATGTTCATGGACTCAGTTTGGTCTTGCTTTGCTTGTTTTTAGGCACTCCCTGGCCTCAGGTATTAATTCTCCATAGGTCACTGCGGCTGAGGGGAGGGGGCAGAGACGGGGGCCAGCCCTTCCTATGCAGCTCTTTAATGCTCCAGATGAAGACCATCCATACCCACCCAAAATACCCAAACTGGCCTTAATCTTGCCAAATATAAAATTCTCCATGGGCTGTATCAAAAGAAATCCACGCGGTGGTAGCGGAATAGATGCCCACACCATCCCTGCTGCATTCCCTCTTGTCTGTTCACGTCCCTCCAAGGGTCCCCCACTTTGATCTCCACTCTCCTTACTGGCTTCCTAGAACCCCATTCTGCAGCCACTTTCCCTCCAGCCCAGAGGGGGCCAGAGTCCCTTTTTCTGTTCTCAACACAGCTGAGGTACGTACGCATTTTCAGAAAGTTCTTTATGAAAACACTGCACGATCTGAAAAAGAAGTATAGGAAAAGCAGAGACCATCACTGTGTAAATCCACAACAAAAAGATTTCTGGATCTGTGAAGCCTAATGAAAGTTCTGTGAAAACAGTGACAGACTGCACAAAGGACCTAGTGATGGTAACTCTCTAGGCTCAGCTGCCTGACCGGGAGCCATACCTTGTTCGGACCCTCCCTTCCCACCCCTGGTCCCCACTGGGTGACAGCCATCCTGACACCCAGGAGCGGTCGTCCCCAACCTTGTCCTGGTTACAAGGCAAAACAGCAATTCCTTTTCTCCTGGCTCAACATCTCATACATCTTAGGCTTCTCCCATGACTCATTTTAAAGCTGGTGCACCATTCATTTGGGGGCTGCAGTGATGGGCAACTATTCTGGGAAACCCCAGCAAGTCATCCCGATTCAGATTATCAGCCACACCTCCCTCTCCCATCTCCCTATTAAGTGAGTCTGGAGCCTGACTTCTTCACAGAGAAGCCAACGATCAGAATGATTTAAAAATCGGCTCTAATTGGCTGTTTTACAGCCCTAGGCTGATTCGAAGGCAGATGCAAGTATATGGTTAACCCTCTTTGCAGCCTAATTACCTATTTTGAGAAGCCTGCTAAAAAAATTAATGTATGTTCTCCAACCCTTTCCAGATATACCAAATTGATGAGAAAATGGAAATGAAAACATTTTAAAAATTTTGCAGCTCTTTATTACTTGTAAGCCTCTCCCTGCCCCATGTATTGCGGTGCCCAGGTTCCTATTAAAATAACTCCTTTAGTCAAATCAGCAGAGGCCCCTATTAAAAGGCAATATTTTACCAAGTGACACATGGGCACATTAGCAGAGATTGTCTATGAAAACTGTTCCCGCTTGAAGGGAAGAGAGGTGGTGGATGGAGATGGAAGGAAGATCTTGCTGGGACTGAGGGGCTTGTAGGATTTGAGGGGAGTTGACCAGGTGCTATGGGCAGATGGCCCAGGAGAGGCATCCAGGGGAGGAATGGGGAGCTGGTGGATAGAGATGAGATGATCAGGAAATGATTATAAAGGAATATAGGGGTACAGAGATCCAGAGAAAAGTGCCAACCATTTCACAGTTTTGCCTCAGACTGATTGAAATCCCTGAAAGAGCCTGGTTGACTTTAAACCCTCCATCAGCTAATCAATAATTTATAATTGTGGTGAGCTCAACAGCACGTATAAGTTAAAGGAAGCATCAGCTACAATAAGAGGCAGAAAAATAAGTAAATGTAATCATTTGACTACCACCATACAAAAATACTTGAAAACATTTACATTTTAAAAATGTCTGTCTTAGAGTAAAAAGTGTCCCTTTTTGTTAAAAATGACACTTGAGAATGTTCACAATTATTTTTAGTTGAATAATGAAATCTTTCACTAGATGAATAGTGAAATCTGGGCAAGTAAATTATTCGAAAAGATTTGGACACCACCACCCTGAGTGTCAGCAATAACAAAAGGCAGTTATTTTCAGAAGCAGAAGGACCGGTTACTCACAGCAGTATTTTCCTCCGGACTGGCTTCACCATCACGCAAGCAGTGCACCTCGGTCTTGCCTTTGCCAGGCCCGCATGGTGGGCTCAGGAAATAGTCTACTTTTAATATTGGACCATGGAGACCTTAATTAGACTATGCCATTTTCAAAAATCATACAATACAACCTTTTTCTCGAGCCAACCTCCACAGACTCTGCGATCATCCCAGAGTGTAAAACACCCTGAAAAATGGATGGAGCCCCGCAGGAGCTTCCCATCTCAGCCCATGTCTTTCTCACTACCAGCCACTCACTTTAGTTTGAGTAATTGACAAAGAGGCCCTCTCTTTCCCCATACTTGCAACATACTGCACCAAGATTCATCTTTCTAAGCTCAAATCTTAACTGAGAAAACCTTTGTACTCCAATGTCCAAGACCCTACCTAGCATGTCCATTTACCCCCTTATGGACCTGATGCTCCTGTTACTGGACCATAAGTTAGGTGATATCCTGGCAATGGCATTTTGCTAAGGCAGTTTATTTTCATAAGAAATTTAAAAAAGAACAAAGATCATATCATATTTGGTTTTGAGTCACATGACCAATGGCTTGATAAGAACAAACTTACGTGTAATGAGTCTGAGACCCCTGAGGAGAACAACCCCCTCGCTGTCTGTTCTGCTGCTCTGCACAACACCTGCTGTTCTCTGAACGTTTCTGGGTTTCCCACCGCTGAGCTTTTAGTCATGATGCTCTGTGCGTGATGCCCCCTCCTCAGCCTATTCCCCCCTGTGTGTTTCTCTCCCTCCCTCAAGGTCCACACCAAATACCCGCTGCTTGCTTCACCAAAGGGATGGGGTGCTTCCTGCTGTGTCCGGGGGCACTTCCCTGCATTCGGAGGTGACCCCTGTGACAGGACACATCTCTTTGAGGGTTGGCTCCTTCCCCTTATTAAACAACAAGCCCCTTACCACTCTGGGATCATTTCCTCTCTACACAGAGGTTAAATCAAAGCCCTGGTCCCTCACAGTCCAGGCAACTGAATTCAGACTTTCAAGGTGCCAGCTGATCCAGAGACAGGGAGAAAAAGCACCTGCCATCCAGCCAAACCAGGATGGCAGACCACTGTGTTGGAAACTGGTCTTGTTTAAGAATCACAGATAATCTGAGCCACAGGGACACTTTATAGTCACAAATCCAATTCAGAAAGCAGTCATTTGGCTCTTTAGGGTCTCCTTGGCCTCCCGCTGATGGGTGGGGTCTTAAATCTAAAAATCAGCTGGATATAAGCAGTTTCCTTTCTTACTTCGTCTGCTTCTTTTTTTTTTTTTGGTGGGGAAGGGCAGTCATTTAATATACCCCAAATGTAAATGTCTTACATGGCAACTATAAATGTCAGCATGTACCCTTTCTAAGCATGGATCCTTCGGACATTTCATTTCATTAGCATATCATTAAACAATTTCACAGGAAGGAAAAATATGTCATCTGAAGAAAATATATCTTCAAGCATGACATGTTTCTTTTCTTATTTTTAAAGTGACAGAATCAGTGAGGTCCGTTTGGGGCCTTGTTCTGAGGAACTGCCCACAGGCATTCGATCCTACCATCTCACTTTTTGCTCCATCCACTCAAGTGTCTACCTTCCTGCTATGGGTTGCAATGATAGTAGCTGCAGGAGCTGTAATACATGTGTAGCATGCCTAGCAGGTAGTAAGGGTTCAATATATAGCTGATGGGGAATGAAGAGTTATCTCTTTATACCATTTTTGTGCAAAATGAGACTTATTTCTAAGTCTGTTATGCACACAAAGGAATGAAATTATAACTAAACTGCCTATAATCATGAAAATCAGTTACCAAAGGAATCCATCCCCCAAAGGGTGCCAGATCGCAAGTTTCTCTCTGGCATGTTGGAATGGGTAGAAAGGCATCCTCCCTCAGCTGCTCATGGCATGCAGGAGTGCAGTTAAACAAGGCTGTCTGTATTTTAAGTGCTCCTAAACCACATAATTGCTGTACCTAATTTTTAAAACTTCAAGGCCAAAAGCCTAATTAAGTGACTTGATGTGTTTTCAAAAGTAAACGCAAAAACAGTTTATCCATTGAGCAAGAACACTCACAGGATTGTCCAGTTTTCATTCACATGTGACAGACAGGACACTTGGTCCTACAGACGTCCTGTGTACCTTATTTATATTTATCTGGCAGGCCTACATCTGTAGGCTGTAAAAGGGTGGGATTTGGTGAGGGGGGCAGGGCTGACTTTGCCACAACCCCCAGAGACAAACATTCAGCGCTGCATTATTCTCCAGCACTTCTGAAGCTGACTGTTGAAATGCTAACATGCCTTTCCATGATTAAAAGGAATGCGTATCCCAAGACTGAGTCTGCACAGAATCACTCTCCACTTTTTGAGCTAACGGAAACCTCAGCTGCACTGCTGTTTGCATAACTGGAGTCTCTGGAGGGGCACCCCACCCTCCATTCACCCACCCTCCACCCACCCACTGACCCCAGGTCTGTAAACACCCCTGTCAACCCTGCTACACCTCACCATCCCCGATTGTGAGCCCTCTGCAAAAGCCACCTCGTCATCTAAGTAATCAAACCACTACATTAGCAAAGTTATTCACCCATGAATCTTGTGAAACTTCTGTATACAAGCCCATTGAACAGTAACCTGCATTCTAAGACATCCACACAAGAATGCAAAATGTTTCCTATAAATTCAGGGAATTCATGGCCCTCTTGGTAACCAGCCAAGAACTTCAGGTAAAGATTTCCTGGCTCTTTCTAGGCACTTCATGCATTTTAACCACCCTCCCACCACCACCTCGCTTTAATTTTTATTTTTATTGATTGATTGATTTTTGGCTCACATAAATACATAGCAACTTCCATATTCTTCTTTTCCAAATACAGCCCTCTGGTTCCAACACAATAGCCATGTGCTTCAGAATTCAGGACAGTTTAGGGTAAATATTTTATACACTCAAACCCGAAATTACTAGGAAACCCATAAACAATGACTTTAACACGCGTGAATGTGGTCAGCTATAAATGTCAACAGGCACTTTGGGAAGTGTTGCCAGGCCCCGCTGCCACCGCGGGAGGTCCGTTCTCTCCACTGGCCCTGCAAAGCCAGCCTGCAGGCGCCTCCGCCTGGGTTTGGGAGGGGACAGTGTTGTCCCCGCTCACCGTCGCTCATCAGCCCTGGGTCAGCAGGAAACCTTTTCTTTCAGCCTGAGCCCTAATCTCAGCTTTACTTGTTCCCTACCTTCTTCTTCCCCCTAACATCTGCTCGAAGAGTTTTAAAGGGACGGCAGGGCAAGGCTGCAGCCTAGCTGAACACATCAGAAAAACGCCACGCGAGTGCCTGGTCAGAAATTGCGGTATCCAAAGGCACGATTAACAAACTGAAACTTGTAACTTCAAACAATAACCCTTACTGCTCTGCCCAGTTCTCCTTCTCTTCTATTGCATGTTCCCTAGTGGAAAACAGTGCCTGCTGATACCCCAAAAGCCGAGGGCTGCACACTGCTCCCCACCCACCCCAGACACATTCAGCACCATCACTATGAGTTGTCAAGTTGTGATCCTTTGTAAACAAATTAAAACATCCTTGGTACATTTGGGAAGGTTGGATGTTTTAGGTGAATGGAAAAAAAAAAAAAGAATACGGTAATGGGTAAATGGCTTTCAAGCACACTTCACTGCAGCTTAGCAAAGAAAACAGCCTGATTTACTATTCCTTTATCCAGTATCAGTGGCATTATAAACTTAAGCATGCTCTAAAAATAAAGGCATCATTATATTTCACTGCTTCCTATTAACTCTACGTAGCACCTGCTTAATTAGACTTTATGTGACAGCTAGATCTAAATTAAGAACTTAGGTGCGCCGGCATCTATAAGATATTGCTCATGCATATTGTCAAGTTCATACAAAGCATTTAATTAGCCCATCAAAGACACAGTTTGGGTCAAGTACCTGGATCTGGCTGAACAAACACTTGATCCATTTCCTGGTGGAACAGTTACAGGTAGTTACAAGCCTCTTTAGTTTCCATTCTTCCCAACCAAGCTGTTAAAGCAGTCGGCTGTGCTGGCTGCAAGCAGCTGATGGCACACCTCAGATCTAAAGCTGTTGTTTCAGGCTTAGTAACTTCCCATTAAAACCCCCGAGTTAAACGAACGTCGTCTTTCTGCGCGAGGCATCATTAGTGGCCAATACAGCTGCTGCTTTGAGGTGAGCCATGATTTCGGTTCTGCCTCAGCAACTCTTCAGAGGATTCTGCTTCAGTGAGTAGAGGCGGTATCCTAGCAGTGTGTCTGAAATCATCTTCAAGAAAACATTAACATTCAAGAGGAGTCCGGAGGAAAACATCACAGGGCATTCCCACACCTTTTCAAAATCAAAACCACACATCCACCCGCGCTCTGCTCTTTTCTACTGATTGGTGACACTGTTCCTCTTTGGGGGTGTCAATTAGCACCTTGCAGCAGCCAGCCTCTGAACTGATTACTGTTTATGACCTTCAGGGCATCTTAATTAATGGGATGATTTCTAGGGAAGGGCGTCAAGTCAGCATTTGGAGATAAACTAAAGAATCCTTTTCCTAAAGAAAATGAAATTGACCTTTCGGAAAAGCAGCAGGTATGGGAGGCAAAGAGGGAAGAACAACTAGAAGAGAACAAAATCATATTTTCACCACCTGTTCGTAATTTCCCAGGGCTGTAGGTTGCCAGGTGCAGTGTCCGCTTTGGCCAGCCTGCCTCCTAGTGACCTTGACTGGCACCCACCCGACCCAGGCCATCTGAGACCACTTGATGAATAAAGATAGACTTTTGTTGACAGCGAGTTGTTCTAATTCTACAGATTCCAGTTACATGGCACAATCTTAAATTATTTTCCTTGGATAGGATGGCCTAAGTAAATTTGGAAAATATTTTAGGATAAAACTCATCTTTAGAAAAAAATACTTCTCTGGAAAGAATTCAGCATAATTCTTAAGATGGAACATCCTTGTGTTTTGGCAAGTCACCACTTTCTTTGTTGAGGTGGGAGCACACTTAGCAACAACATCCACCCACCAAATGAGGGGGTACATGATATTTAAAGCTAACGCGGACTGTGCCTGTCGGCTGTGCTGTCTCGTCAGCCCCTGTGAGAAGCCGGCCGTTACCCAGCAGCTCTAAGGGACTAAACGGAGCTCGTTTTCTAAGATGAAAACCCCCAGCTGCTAGCAACAGACAGTAATCCTGGCTAGACCTCAGATTTAAGAAAATTCAAATGCTGAACGTTAGGATCTAATGCAAGAATCAAATGCTTGACATTTGAAACTAACTTCACACGAACATGAAGGTTGCTTCCCTGTATGTTTTCTGGATCTTTAACTAAATTTCCTTTCCAATTGGTTGTACCTACTGTATTTTCACACACACACACATACACACACACAACAATGGAACAAATGACATCCAACAGAGCATTATCATTCCAGACTAACTGGTATCCTTTGTGCTTTTCAGCCAGAGGTGCTGGTAGGTGGAACACAATCTCAGTAATGCCAACAGAGTGTGGTCCAGGGCACATTCTGACCCCACCCTCACTTATCCACTTATCATTCGTGTGCTAAGAAAGTACCCCAGTTAGAAATAAGCCTGGGTGTCTGTGGGCTCACCCTGACCAAGAGGCCTCCTCAGATCCTGTTTGAGCCTATAGATTCATAGAGGTGGAAGGGGATATGGGGGGGTCATGGCTGTTCTCTAGCTACTCTGCAGACTGAACCCATCCCAGAGAGATGAGCACCTGGCCTGTTTCTAAAACTCTCCAGAGAAGTGAATTCCATCACCCACTCTGACAAACTCTGTTTAAACTGATTCTTCTGCTGCTCATTTATCCACATGAGTTGGTGTATCTCTTTCCCAGTATCCTTGCTATAAAAAGTCAGTCATTAGCCACCACAAAATTTTGTTAGAATGCCCTTCCCCCAAGGAAGCTGAACTAGGTAAATGAAAGAATATTTCATGAAGATCTGCTGCTACAAAGATCTTGCAGCCAAGTTTGGATTCTTCTTTGATAAGATAATTATAACTGGAATTATTGGAATCAGCCCTTCTGCCAGTTCCATTATGTGACTCTTCATGAATTCTGTAACAATGATTAAGAATTTATGAGAAGTCTGGTTCTTTGAATGTTTCATAGTTCTATTTCCTTAGTTCTATTTCTTTAGTCTTTAATAATCTTTATAGCTTTTCTCTGAATTCTTCGCCAAACTTCTGCTTTCTGGTCCAGCCTTAAATAGGGAGCCTAGAATGCTACACAAAGCTAAGTAAAACTCAGACGAAAATGGAATTGCAACAAAATGGGGTGACTTTATAAGTTATATATGCTGTGCATCTTATCCATTCTGATACCAGGTTTATTACTGGGTATTAATCCAGTTTTCCTTTTTAACCACACAACATCATAAGTTTATATTGCCAGAAATCTATTTTAAGAACTTTTCTTACATTCCAATTTCAAGTCTCATCTTTAATGTTCTTTAAGTTACAGTTCTTTCCTAAATGTCCCATGCTGCTCTTTTCCATAAAGAAATGGACAATGAATATGAAACAAGGCCTCATGAGCCATCAACTTTATGCCAACAGAGGCTGTGTCATTATTATTATCATAGTATTTCTTTTTGACCCTGCCTAATTCCCAAAATAAAATTGGGTCAATTCTTGGTGTGATTTTCAAAATACAAACATGATTATCTTTTTATTCTCATCACTAGATTCTTCAGAAAAATCTTTTCCTCCTTCCTTTGTGTGCATTTTTTCTTTCACATATTCAAGAAATATTTATTAAGTTCACTCAGTTAGTGTCAGATATGTTCTGTGTTAGGTGTTGCAAAGGATAAAAAGTCCTTTTTCACGTTCATTCAGGCTGTGCACTGTACAATTCTAGGGTGTTCCCAGGTGAAGGTCCCGAGGAGCTTAACTTCTAGCTGAGCTTCCTGACAACCTAGCCCACCTCCACTATTTTCCACTTCCTTACCTCCCTTTCTCTGATTACCCAGCAGACATCTGGAGTATGTCCTCACCTCTTCATAGGACCTGATTTCACAAGGTTGTCTGTGGCTTCTAACTGTCTCAAGCAAAACAAACTAACAAAAAACCTTCAGTATTTATCTTCCTTGCTCATTGTGACATCACTGGACATGGCTGACCACTCTCTTCAAGGAAGGTCCAGATAAAAGAATGCACAGAGTATACTGGAGTGGCAGGAACTGATGTCAGCCCTTAATTGCCCTTGGGGCCCCCCTGGGTGCCTTCTCCCTCCATAGTCTCTCATTTGCCTTCTGAGGCTAAAGTCAAGTGTAGCTGGTGTATCTACCAGCAAACACCAAATTAATAGGGTGGAAAAACAGGCAGACTAGGATATACGTTAACAACTCCATCACTTTCAATTCATACAAAAAGAAGTGCAAGTCAATTTATATATCATTTTTATTTTTCTGTCATCTTAGTTAAAAACAAAAATCAGTACATCACATAATAAAAAAATTTTTTTAATCCAGATTGACTCTGTTTCCAATATCCTGCTGATTTGCCAGATCTAAGTGTAAGTTTATTTATCCATTCAGCCATCTTCACAGCTCAATGAACATTCAAAGCACAAGGGAACAGTGGGGAAGGTTTAATAATATTCAAACCAAGCTGATAAATTAGGATCTATATTCAAGCATTATTAAAAGTAAGCAGGTTAAAGTCCAGCTGCAAATTGGCAACATCCTGGTTGGATCTTTTCTTGAATGCATTTCTGTAAACATTGCATCTCTGGTATGTTGAATGCTCAACTAGCTGCCGATGAATCTGGAATGGAGAAGTATTCGAAATGGAAATGAGGAACAAACAATGCTGCAACTCAGTAGAAATGTATTTGGAAGAAAAGAAACACTGATAAAATTTAATACTTCTGAGGATTCCAGATAGCCCTGCCAAATTAACAAATTTGTTCACTC